GCTGAAGTTTCCAGGCTACTATCAAGGCGCAGCTGGCAAATGGCTGAAATCCAAAGAAAAGTATTGCTGGCAGACCTTGATGGAGAAATGTCCTTCAATATGTGCCAAGTATGATGAGGTGCCAAACTGGCTCCGATCCCGGATGGACATCAACCAGGTGAAGGGGCCTGGTCACACAAAGATTGTCAGCGACATCTATGATGTGGTGGACCAAATCCTTATGCAAGCCACCCGGGAGGGGTTGGAGCTCAATGTGACATCCATCGAGGAGGTTTTGTCAGACAGCCTCGAAGCTAATGCAGTGGTCAGCAAATGGCGATCTGAACGTGAAGCAGCTGATCTGAAAGCTGTTGAGAATTTGACCGCGTCTGGGGCTACAGAAGCCGAGGTGAAGCAGCTGGTGAGCAAACAAGAGGCCCTCAAGGCCGCCTGGCCTGCCCCGGTTCGCTTGGGCAACACGGCACGATCCATCAACCAATTGGCCTTGAACTTTGCAGAGAAGTATGGGTTTTCAATGTTTGCGCAATCCAAGCCAACTAGACATCTCCAACGAGACCATCCTCAAGTGCAGCACGTGATGGATTTTATCCAAATGACCATTCGCAATGGCGAGGTGGATGAAAGATTGGTGCTCAACTTTGATCAAGTGTGGAGCTGCTTGCAGCTTGTTCTCTCTTGGGCCTTGAGTTTTTTGTTTGTCAATGGTTTCAGCAAAGATTCACCCTTTCTGCTGAACAACTTGATTGATGGCTTCAAGAACTGTATAGGTCCAGCTTCAGACCTTGTCAGCTTTACTGCTTTCTTTGTGAAAAGAGAGTGTTCAGGTATGAGCCTATGCGGAGAACATTGTGGAAAACCTCAGAAGCTGGAAGCAGGGATGATCTCAGCAGGTTTCCACGGCGGCAAACCCTCCGCGCCATGATTCAGGAACATTTTGGAAGTACTGTGCAGGTCCCTGTGCATGAGCGGAACACCCGATGGCACAACAGGCTCGCAGATATCCGAGGCTACGGTGGGGTGAACTGCATCCAACAATGGAGGCCTGCGCCACATTATCTTGTTGTTCTCTACCGCTGGTCGGACCGGTACATAGAATATGCAACAATGATTTACAACCGCTACATGCAGATATAGATACATAGAATATATAAAGATTCGTATCTTTTTCCACCACAGGTTGTGGTGACAACAACATAGCATATGCAAACACTATGTTTCCAAAGAGCGGCGTCTTTGCGGTTTTTGTTGCACGCATGCATACCTGGAGTAGATAGAATGAGAAATCCAAAAACAATGGGAAACTTATCATGTTTTTGGATTGGTTCATATTCTATCTACTCCAGGATGGTTGCACATACAGGTCACCACGGACAACCACGACGGTATCATGGATCACCGGCGAAGTGGGGTTTGCTTATGTGACCCTCCCCGAGGGCACCATGTCACCTGCTGAAATGGAGAAGGTCAATGACGACTACAAGGGTATCCTAGTTTGCGAATCCTCAGGCACAGACACACACATGTGGTCAGGCCCAACCTGTGTGAGGTTTCTGGATCATTTGACAGTGGAGATTCGGAAACAACGACAGAAGCTTGGGAAGGACCACAGCGCTCGGGTGATGGTCATAGCAGACAAATGCACGAGCCACTTGTCCCGCACATTCTTAGATATGAGGAGAACCTGGGCAAAGGAACAGAACTGCCTGATTCTGGGCCTCGATCCGGAGGCAGATGTGCAAATTCCGGGAGGTTGGGGCTTGAGCTGCAGCCCCAATGACGGGTGGCATGGACACTTTCATCTTCTGCGCATGGCTTTTATGCGCAGTAGCTTAGGCAGGGATGCTCAAACCCAAGTTGTGGGGAAATCCTCCTCAAACAACTCCTTGTTGAGATATTCTTTTCAAGGACAATAGAGTATTCTATCTATTGTGTCCGTCAATAAGGTTCCCTCCCAGCAATTAGAATTCAATTAAGGATGGTCTAATTGAGCTCCCCCGAGCAATATTCTATGTACATACCCACCCAGCAGATCGCCTGCTCAAGAGGAATGCCACCATAGTTTTTACTTTGTTGGAATACAGGGAACGTGAGACATTTTCAGCAGATAGACATAATATTGATTCCAATGAATCCCTGTCAGGCCTTCCCCTCAATCCAATCTTCCGCAAAGAGATGGAAGAGTATGAAATAGGACCTCAAGGTGGACTACCTCAAGTTTCCTGCCCGCTGGAAACATCGTTGGCAGCAGATGCATGGGCGCTTTCTCAGATCTCCCGGTACCGCTGTGGCAAGGTTATTCTTTGGGCTTGGCTTTCGAGGGGGTACATGTCACCAGAGACAGCTGCCAAGTGGCACTTTGACGGAGATACCTCAGCCCTTGAGGAGCACATGAAAAGTACCCGGGGAGCATATCGTGACCTCTTGCGCTTGAAGGAGATGCCCTCTTTGGACAAAAGTGCCTTGCATCTTTGACTTCATTGATATTTTAGCAAATGTCACTGCTACAACAACCCACCACCGGGTACCAAATACATAGAATATGTAAATGCGCACGCTCCTGTCCATACATATATTGCTTTCCTATTAAACATGGACACCTGGGAAGAACTTCAAAACCAAAAAGGCACCTATGAAAATTTTGTATAAAATCAAATATTAAACTCATATCAAAAATTGAAAAAACACCTCAAGAGATCAATCATGGTTTCTGTTGCAGGTGCATACAGACTGGCATGGCAACAAGCAACCGTACCTTTGCAGGGTGAAAAGATGCACTGTTGGTATGTCAAGACTGAAAGCGCAGAGCCACTACAATTGCCTCGGTTCTTCAACACCGCTCTAGAGGTAGTGATGTCCCAATGGATGGAATTGAGGAGGAAATGGGATGGTGCCATTGCCAAACGAGCGAAACTTGGCAGAGCATTAACTCCATCGGCGGCAAAGGCATACCAGTCCTTCCTTGATGCACCCTACAGGAAGCTGGTCTTGGACTTGCAAAGCAAGGTGGTTGTGGCCCGCCCATCGGGAGCATCTTCTGGGACTGTGAAAACCTGCCTTGCTCTTGAAGTCAAGATGTCCCTAGACCCAGCCCACCTGGCCCTTCGCTTTGGTCAGGGTCCCTTTTATCATTTGTTTGTCAGAGAGTTCGAGGTCTTGGAGGCACGCGTGCTACAATATGACATTTCGGTGATGTTAGCTGGTAGCAGGAATATCACCAAAACATAGCCTACAAGATGCTGGTTCCAGGTTTCAGGTTGAAACAAAAGGACTCTTTTTTAAACATGTTTTTTCACTTGTTGAAAGAGCTTTGTGAAGGATTGTGCTAAACAAACAGGTACAAAGACTCCCAGGTATGCCAGTTTCAGAATGCAGGCTCCTCCAGAAGCTGATTGGCAGCCTGATTCTCTACCAGAAGCTGCTGGTGAAGGTTTGGGAGGTGCAGTTCCAGAAGCTGAGAAGGAGGATGCGTCTGGAGAAGGGGTCGTTCACTCTGACAACGAATCTGAGTTTGCTGAGTTCTTTGGTGAACCCGATGATCCTATTGGGGGGTCGGCTGAAGGTGCCGATTGCCCAAAGGCTTCCTGGGCCTCAGGGGGCTGTCATGTGGACGATTGAGTCATTTGCATTGAGTCCTCATGCACATTGTTGCTAGTTGGTAAAATCCATGTTGGAGATAAATTAGATCATGGAAGAAACTGAAGCCCTCCGTCTATAGACAACCACCCGCTTTTTGAGGCCTGATTGTCTGACCCCACGCTGCTTGTGGCTTCTGGCATTCTATGTACTCCCCGTACCAAGCTGTAAGGCCCTTTTGATTCTGGAGTTTGATTCAAATTTACTAAATAGCAAACACATTCTATGTACACGCTCCACCAACTGTTTCAGATCCTTGAGATCACACTACAGCTACCAAGTTGCCACAAAAAGCCACAGGGTTTGGGAGGTTTCTTGAAACTCCAACATGCATGGCAGGTTGCCGCTCACCATCCTGTTCTATTGTTAAGTGTCATGTTTGTTTTGCAAGCTGTTTCTGTGTTGGTGTTGGCATCCGATCAAAATGCAGCGGCTTGTACAGTGGTGCAGCTTCTGCTTGGGAAAGGTCCAAGGTTCAATCGCCTCCCCAAGACAAACTGATTAATGAGTGGTTTCTGGGAAATTCAATGTTTCAAGCTGGTCGAGACATATTCTATGTACCTGGTCACCAAGCTACTTGTGTTTGTGTTTGCCCGTGTGGACCTCCAAAATGGTCTTTTGACCACCAAGCTCATGCTACACTGGCCGCAGAAACGCAAGCATCCAAAGCATGGCAGGTTGCCAATGTCTGTGTTTATTTTTCTGGTGAGTGCTTCTACTGACAACCTTGGTTGACGGTTTTGAACACCGTGTGTACTCTGGTGCTTGGCAGCCGGTGGAATTCAGCAGCCTGAGCAATTATACTTATCCTGATTGGGAGAGGGTCCAACTTCCAAACATTTCCGGACCGCATGCTCCTGGGTCCGGCATCCCTATCCAAAGCCATCTACAACTTGGAAAACTGTTTATATTCTATCTACCTGTTTACCAACCTATTTGAGGCATTTTGAGGCTCTGTTTGTTGCGACCGCCAAAAAGGCATCCCAATCACCAATCTCACGCTACATTGGCTGCAGCAGGTTGACAGATGTTGACACTACTGGGGACATAGGGGAGAAAATGGGAGAAGGAAAAGGGACATAGGATGCGAGCTCGCGCGCGCGCGGGTGTTTCGATTCGAGGCACGCGGGTGTTTTGATATAACCATCCTGAAGATGCTTTTGGGACCCCGATATTTTTTTTTTTAGTGCCGCGGGATTGAGTTGTACCAAAATTCTATGTACTTCAGGATGGTTATATATATATATATTAACTATGGTCAACACATGCTATTTCAGTTGAAGAAGAATAAGGAGTCTTGACCGTCCCTCATATGTACAACATATTATAAAGCTCACACACAGAGGAGCTTCGACACACCTTTCTAGGCCCAGAGATTTCCTGCACGTGAAGAGATGTTGCTGACGCCCCCCGACCGGATCCTGGCACCGCACCGGATCCTGCGGACCCCGCGCGCCACGGCGTCGCACCCGCGCGGGGACGAACCTCAGATGAAGAGGCTCAGGGGCCTTGAGATGGAGGAAGAGGCAGATCTCAAAACAACTCGAGGCTTTCGTGACCATGTGGCAGATCCATCCCAGCCGCGCCCTCTGCGCGCCCTGTCCGCGCCCTCTCCGCGCCGGGCGGCGCAGATGGGGGATCCAGGGCGATTGGAGGCCGGGCGCCGGCGCCGAGATTTGCTGCTCCCGCAGAAGCGGCCACACAGTGAGGAGTGCGAAGCCAAGGCGGACATGAACAGGTCGAGGCTTAAGCAACATGGTCAGAGCCAGGACGGTGACCTGGGACGCCTAGAGTTCGCCCATGCGAATCAGTTCCACAGATCACAGAGTTCAACACAGAGCGGAGGCGCGGAAGCAATAACAACGGGGCATGGGGGGTTAGGATGGGCTTTGTGTTTAACAGTTTAACATTTAGGGCCGCAGAGAGCGAGAGCCAAGTCTTGGACTTTTTCTGAGAAGCAGATGCCCCTGAACGCCAGGACTACGGGGTGCGCAGATGTTGAATCGCCGCTGTTCTTCAGCGCCCCACAGTTCTCTTTTTGGATCCCTTTGCACGAGAACACGATGGCCCGCTGGTTTCAGAACCTCGGCCTTCCGCAGTTGGACGGGCTGATGTGAGGCTGATGTCTGCAATGCCCCTTTGTACGCTTATGTCTCCTAAAAGTGGAGCGGGTATTTTGGTGTCCGGTACATGCCAGACGTTGACAGTCGAATTCATGTGCATCTCACGGGGGAAAAGGGCTAGCCGCACAGTCTTGCTGTGAGTGTGGGCAGGTCTGCATCGTCTTGACACATGCAGTCTTTGACATGTGGCTGTGGCTCAAGGCCACTTTGTATACACATATTTTATGTTTTGGATGTTTATATAGTACTTTACTACTGAAACGCGATATTTTTGGTGCTTGGTTTCGATTGACCTCCTCCATGTGCCTTCAACTAACCTGCAGGTCCTTCAGCAACGCCCTCTTTATCTGACGGATGTGACGACAAAGCACACGGCTTTGGTCGTGCATTTGTCAGGTGATGTCGTGGAAGGCGCAAAGACTTCAAAGATCCGAAAAAAGAGCCGTTCCACTCCGTTTGACAAGGAGTGACTGGTGCAAGTGACTGGTGCAGAGAATGATGCTTGAGAAGCTCAATTCACACAGCAGCTCCTGAGTGTTTGATTCACCCAGTTGCAGCATTGCTACCAACTGCTCGGTTTGTCTGGTTGGGGCAGCCTTTGGCTCACGATTGACATCGCAAAGAAGCGACCATGGGATGGTCGTAGCTTGTGGAACTCAAGCCCAATACAGAACCCAACACCAGCAACGATACAGCAGTCAGCAAGGCCAAGAGGCCCAAGACCCTCAGTTTAGCATTTCACAGCCGAACCCACAAGGAGCTTTACCACCGAGGTATACAAGTCTCGGTGGCAACGGTACAGCCCGGCCGTCCCCAACCAAAACATCGTCGGGCGTGTTGCACGTTTTCTCCACCGGATGAACTTGTCGCGAAACAAGGTTTTTTCGGGGGTGGGCTTTGGGATCCCCCATCATCTCTCCAGGTGGGGATGACCTCTGAGGCCCAAGGTCTTGGAGTCCCCAACTCTGACCGTTCCACAACTTCCAGACTGTTCCCCAACCACAGGAGCGGTCCTAAGCTTTAAACTCCCCAGCCACACGTCTCCACGTCTCCGCGAGTTCCATGTGAAAAGAAACAACGTGACAAGAGGCTGAACAGTCACGGCATCCTCCTGGAACGGTTCCGACACCGCTCCGGTCGCTCCGCTCGACCGAGAGCTGCGGCCGCGCCCCATGGGTGCACCGCTTGTTCGGTGCTCCGCATGCAGAGCTCGATGGATCTGCGGCACGGAGTCACAGTGGGTGAGGGCTCGGTGGAGGGGATCTGGACAGTGGATCACATGACCTGTGGAGGTCTCTGATTGATGGGATCCCCATGGATCTGTGCTGGGGAGGTCTCCACTCGGTCTCGGTCACGAACGATCAGAGACCAGAGACGACCAGAGACGACCGCCAGTAGAGCCAGGGGCACGAGAGATGACCCACAGGAGTCTCCACATGTTTTCAGGACACTCGAAGGGGTCCTGATGACCACCGGCCTGAAAGAGATGAAAATCAGATGTCCATATCTCACTGGTTCCGCGTGTGAGTGGAGATAGCCCGACGAAAAAAAGGGGTTTCCAATAAGGAATAACTTGCGTAAGCCAAGACTGACTACACCTCCAAACACCAGCACCTCCAAACACTTGGAAACCTCCAGAAAGATTTTCAGCGCCGCGGGGGAGGATTGCACTTCAACCTGTAGAAGAAAGGGTTTGTTTCCCCGAAACCCGCTCCAATGGTCCGCCAGCATGTCAACTAGGTTTGTCAGCCTGCCCTGTGTGGTGGTCGCATCCACATTGCAGTGACCAACATCGGGGGCCAAAAGGATGGGGAAGAGGTCCACAAGTTTGAGCTCCACAAGTTTGAGCCAAGGGGAAGGAGGGCGTGGCCATCAATCAGGGTCCTGGCTTACAAGAGAAACGTGTTGAGTTGGGACTCTTAAACGAGAGATGGCAGATTTGGTTCATGGTGACACTGTCCCAGGTGTGACACTGTTTTCTGAGCTCTGAGGTGGACGGGCTTGTCAGAAGAATCCACAGGTTTGTCATTAGGAACCGGCTTAGGGTTTGAGCAGCATCAAACCTTAAACAAAAAAGACACTCATGTATATAGACTCTTGATTAACAAAATCGCTGCCCCTTTAGGATTGTCAGACCTCTCCAGGCTTGGGCCGGTTGAACGATTCAACAAGTCTACTTTAAAGATATCATACAATTGCATGGATGACATGTCATCCATTTCAGTTGTTGCTTTACTTGCCTTCACACTGACCACCAGTCGTCTGGGAGGTACGTCCGCTTTGCGAAGAAGCCCATGGCGGCGCCCTTCCACAGGCACACCAACGACCAAGCCACTGAGCGGACCCGTGTGGAACAAAAGCGGTGGAGTGGACTCCTCCAGCTCACCGTGGAAGTGGTGAGTTACCCGTGGGAAGTCGAGGAATTCGTCTGTCGTCTTCGGCTGAGCGGACGGGGAGATGCGAGACACTTCAAGGGTTGGAGACCAATCAGGGTTCAATCACAAGGAGTGTGAGGCTCATTGGAGCGAAGTTCTTTTTGGCCCGCCAGGGTCACCGAGCGGGGTGCCCGGCGTCTGCTCTGGGTGGGCCTGGTCTGGGCACCTGGACAGACTTGGAGCCGGACGTGGTGGGTGGTGGGGTGGTGTTTGCTTGAAAGAGGTCCCGGCAAGTGTCCACAACCCAGGACTAGCCTATCATCGTCCTGTATTGATCTGCGCTAAGAGGCAACCTGTCCTGGCCACCCGTTAGCATCCGCCTATATTTATATATATGTTAGGGTCTGCTGGAGTTGTTTGTTTCCAGAATTCTTTTAACTTGTTTGGCGTGTTGCTCCGTCATTTGCCATTGTTTACCCAGAAACCGGCCATCGAAAGGTTTGCCCTGGTTTTCAGACCCAGCCCAGACACCACATCTCAACAGACTCATCACATCCTTCTGAAGAAAGGCCGTTGGTTTCCACGCCCACGCTGGGTCACCGGTGAACCGTGAGCCGAGGTCGCGGAGCTGGTGGCTTTGGGGCTTTTGCCCTTGATGCAGGCGAGGGCAAAAGCGGTTCCAATGGTGTGTTCATTTTGGGAGGATTTTGCATGGGTGTGATATTTTGCGCCTTTTGTGAAGGATTGTTCAACATGTCTTTTTGGGGGTCAGACTGACAGACTGTTGGCCTTATCACTTCATGTCCGTTTTCTGGTGTTCTCTGAATTTTCCATCGCCAGGATTCACGTCGGCTCTGCGAGCGGAGTACCTTTGACAGAGGGTTTATATAAACGGATCAAGGTGACTTACAAACCAGTCATGTTCCACGCATTTCCACGGCCATGTCTGTATCCATACAGAACGGATTGAAACGTATTCCTCTCATCGATGACGGACGAATCGCGAGCTGTCGGCAGGCGTACCCCATGAATGCCTCTTGCTTGGTCTTCCTCTATTTTTGGAAGGCCCGGGAACTCCCGCCACGGATGCGAGATCTCGCCGAGATCGAGGCGTGGTGGTCAGTGGGCATTCTTGGCCCCTTTCCAGTCTCCATCCGAGAAGCCACCCGCGACCGGCCGTGGAAAACGGCCCGGCCCTTCCTCCCCCCTCCCTTCCGTCCCCGGTGGATTCGCGGACGCCAGGAGTCGAAACGAGCCAAAGTGCTTCAATTGAACGAGGCGGGAGAAAGGGGGGCCACTTGATCGATGGTGCGAGTGAAATCGTTGGGTTGATTTTGGCTCAAGAAGGGTGATGGTTATACTAAGTTAGTTATATATACTTCTATCAATCTTTTTTTTAAAGGTGGGTGTGGCGGCATGGTGTCTTTTTGGTGCATTTTTGGTGTAACCGGCCTACCCGTGAATCTCTTGTCAAACTTGTCACATATATATATATATATATTATATTATACTATACTACTATACTATATTGTATTATATTATATTATATTATACTATATTATATTATATTATGTTATATATACACACACCTTCCACAGCCAAGCAAGATTATATACACGTTTGTCAGGTGCTCTCGTGTGCGTTGGCGCTGGCCGTCTGGATCCTGCCATGCTTGGATCCCACTGGCGGCGTGCTGCAGCCTGCAGAAGTGCAGGTGTGCTGCGAAGAACACGGTGGGAAAAGCAAGAAGAAAGACCATCTTCCATGTGTCCGCAGTATGTTTGTGGAAACCCAGGCCTTAACAGATAAGAAAACAAGTGGACCATGGTTCTGCAAATGTGAGCTTTCGTACGTGTCGAACCCAAACGGAGGAGTGAGTAGCAGAGTTCCTGTCTCTCTGGGTGTTGATTTACTGATCGTCCTATTTTCATTCTGATCCCCGCATGAACGCAGGTGCTTTGGTCCTTTTTTCGACCCCCCAAATAGATAGAAAAATAGATGCCCACTAAAAAATATGTATGGACAGCGTTTCTATTTGTCCGTGGATTACTATATATCATATATATATATATTTATACCATTATATACAAGAACGGTTGAGCTGGTGGTGTAGTGTAAAAATCCATTCGTTTTACAATGGTTCTTGGGATTCAGACCATTAAACCAATGGATGGCCAGGAATCCTATAGTTCCCCAAACAGTTTACTGGTGGGGTTCTATCTTAGAAAAAAGAGCTGGCCACACTCGCTGGCCGCCCCCCTGAACTCTGTGGCTGGGCTCTGTGTCCGGGTTTTGTCCTCCTCTTGTCCTCCTCTTGTCCTTGTCTTGGCCGCGCCCCTGAACTCTGTGGCCAGGCTCTGTGTCCGCTCCTCTTGTCCTTCTCTTGTCCTCTGGCCGTGCTGACCAGCGCTGGACCCACTGACTGGCCGCGCCCCTTAACTCTGTGTCCGGGCTCTGTGACCGGGTCTTGTCCTCTTGTCTTCTCTTGTCCTGCGGCCGAACAATTAGCGTGCCGACAAAAGTAACTGATGAAGCAGTTTGCTCTTGGGGGGAAGGTAGGACGTACCAAGAAATCGCTTTTGGCTAATATTGGTCCGAACGAATCATTTTGAAG